CCTTCAATGCACATGTCACTTGTCACTGCATTGTCTGAGGCTGTTGTCGTCGACAAGCTTTGTGACGCGGCTCCAAGCTACTTCTATCTTTTCCGGAAATCATTTATTTTCCGACCAAAAACCGAATCACCCTATTTTGAGAAAGCAAATAAAAAGCAAAAGAAAAGCGTCCAAAAAGGAGACCAAAGTGTAACGGAGCTTCAAAAAGCGATCGGAAAGGACTTCCCAAAGCGACAAAAAAGGGTCAGAAAAGCAAGCACATCGAAAAAAAGGGATCCGAAAAGCGATAAAAAAGGGTAACAGACTCTTTAAAAAGCAAACCAAAAGCAACCAAAAAGCAAATAAAAAGCAAATAAAAAGCAACGAAAAAGGCAACCAAAAAGCAACCAAAAAGCAGCCAAAAAGCAACCAAAAAGCAACACAAACACATCAACATGTATCGCAGTAATAAAGTAAAAGCAATGGGGTCCGGGAAGACAAGCAAGATCACAAGCAAGGGTAATTAGGTCATAATCAAGCCATAATTAGGCAAGGACAGCAAGAAACGTTAAAATCGTTGAAAATTCGCTTGAACGAAGAGAAGGGTCAGGAGAAGCAAGAAGCAGTGGTTGGGAGAAAGCCAACGCCACAGATATGACAGATAGGACCATTTCCAAAATTGGACCGATATTGCCAAATCAGAATCAGACAGGAAAGCAGGTTCAGGGCCAGGTCGTTCGAGTGTTTTTGTTGGAGAGAGTGTGTGGACAATGACAATTTTGTATGGATGCCCGGATGCCACACCGCACCAAGTTGGATTCCTTTGGCCAAAGATTTGTGGAATACGTGTCGATGTTCGCCTTCTTGACCATGTCGCCCACTTCTTGAATGGTGTGAGGAGGTTTGATCTGAAATAATCGAAGCCGTGTTTGAAGCCTTTTTCTACTACTCACACAGTGTAGTGTAGTGTAGTCAGTGTGGTCCACAATTCTCATTCAGAAGGCCAATGTGATGACAGAGTATGAGAGTGTATTATGATGTGCAGATGTGAGTACGATTGCTAGAAGCGTGTACTTATACCGGGCAGCTTGGGAAGCTGCTTGATGTATGTCGGTAGTCCCAATTCGTTTTGTTTGTGGCCTGCTCCTCAATTCCATTCCAGTTTGCGTGGCGGAATTTAGTTTAACTTTTGCATTTTCTATATGCGGCTGCCGTCGTATGCTCCGAGACGAAAGCTTGCATCTAAGCCGTGCTGTAGACACACTATCGTACTTCTAGCAGATTCTAATAGATTCTAGCAGACACCACCCAAAGCATTTCGGAGACTGCATAAGCGTGGGCTTGGTGCAGCAACTTCTCACTTGTCTGTTTTTTCTTTCAGATTGCAAGGGCAAAGGCTGGGGCCAGGGTCCAGGGTAGAAGTTCTAGGGTTGTTGGGCTGTAGACTGTAGACTCTGTAGACCTTCCGGCGCTGTACACTGTACAACCTGCTATCTGTGCTATCTGCTTCTTCGTGTCAAGCATGCATTTGGCAGCTTGGATAGTTTTAGTCGTCGTGCTGTAGCAGGTCGTAGCACTCTGTAGCAGCCATGAAGGGATGGAAGGCCATCACGGCGGCGAGTCTCGAGGCATCGGATCGAGAGATGGAGGCAATCATGAATGAGGCAGACTTGTTGCGCGAAGCTTCAGACTCTGACAGCGAGCCCAGCCCGATCCCCTGCAGTTCTCAAACCTCCGACGAAGCTTGGTCGTGTGCTATCTGCTATCCTCCAGACAGGTCTGTAGAGTAGAGTATTGTAGAGTTAGAATGTCGCAGCAGGTATTGTGTGCTGGGTCAGGGCGGCTTGCGGTGCACAGTGTTGGGCAGTGCATGTCCCTTTCAGTCCACTGAGCCAGCAGTATCCACCATAGTGTCATTTGACAATGCGCCCGAGTTGTGTGACAAGGAGTGGTTCGTGTTTGACATCAAGATGCACACTCGAGATGTGGTTCCACGTGGAATTTGTCGCAGCTCTCCGATAAGCTTGGTTTCTTGCTACACGGGCGCTTTTTCGGAGGCAGTGTGCCTTGAGGCCCACACGTAACATGTCATCCGATTTCTTGCGAATTTGCTAAACTATTGCGGGCAGTTCAGCTGAGAGTCGCCAGTCTGCACAGCGAAGTTACACATTCACCAGTGGTTCATGAAGCTGCCATACACATATCTTTCGACTGTTGTGCCGTGGATGTGTTGGGCTTGAAACATTTGGTCTTTGCGCCAGGTGCTGGGCATTCCGTTCACAGCGGTCGGAGCTTCAGAGATGAATGAGACGGCTCGCAGCATCATCATGGCCAATCACCCGCCGACTCACCTGCACGAAACACTTCGTGATCAAATAGAGCATGAAACATGTCGGCTTCATGGGCAGTGTCAGCAGAAGTGCGGCATGCGGGAGAGTGACTTGTGTGTCTGTGGATCTCCGTGTCCCCCGTTTTCTACTTTCCGCAGTAAGAGATTCCTGGAAGATTCAGTGCGGGACCATGTGCTGACAGATACGACAATGATAGATGCAAGGGACATGCTCCTGCACGGGCAGCACAAAGCCTTCATCCTTGAACAAGTCCCGGGCTTTGACAAACATGAGACAGCTTCGGATCCATCAAAGCCCACTCCGTTGCGCAGGCGGGCACACAACTGCTTGGTTCAGATGCTTAGTGGCTTACGGTAAAAGCCAGAAAGTTGGAATATGATTATCCTAACCCTTCTATGGTAAATTATAGGGTATCCTACCATGAAACCATATTCCAACTTTCTGGAGTTCCCTGTAGTTGGCTGAGTCCGAACTTACTGCCTGTAGTATCTTTGCGAACCTCAATTCAGTAAGCTTTGCGGCATGAGTGCATTCAGCAGACACTAGAAGCTAGACTTGCAATGCACATTGCAGGCAGTGTAGTTAGCAGTTAGCATGTCCGGTGCGGCCTCTCATAGTTGTTAGTTTGACAGAGTGCTCAGAGTGATGCGACATTTCCCCGTTCGACACGAACAGTTCACCTTCGCCCAGTTTTCTTGTTGCTGTGTTGCATTGTGGTTCGTTCATTGTTTTCTTCGTTGCAGGTCAAGGGCTTTCATGTGTTTCAAGCGGCTCTTGGGCTTTTCTTCGTTGCAGGGGTCAAGGGCTTTCATGTGTTTCAAGCGGCTCTTGGGCTGGTCGCCCGGGTGTGCGAGGTGTGCTCGCAGTTGTTACTCTTATTATTTATGCATTGCATGTATTCGAGCTTGAGCAATTGAAGTTCCACGAACACAGAAGTATCCAAGTGGAGTCAATGTCCGAGTTGAAGCAATAGGACCGCAAATTAACATGAAGCAGCACTCGCAAACCAATCCATAATCAACCTCGGCCAGGTTTCTGGATATGATCCACACCGAGCTGAAGGTGGCCAAGAAGCCAGGCTACCATGCCGTGGTCCTGAGGGCTTCCCATCAAGATTGGGTCCAGCTGATGCGTGACAGGACCGATTCAGCACACTGCAAGGGAAGAGAGAGCATCAGAGAGTGAGTGAGCGAGTGCACGTATGTGTGTGAGTCAGTGGTGGCAGTGGCAGCGTGGTTCGGACCTGTTGTTGCTCCAGGCTTTGTGAACAGCTTCGTAACAAGGTTTATCCCAGTCCAACGGCTCATGAAACTTGTTTCTTCTGCAACCTTGCAGCTTGTCGGTCACGTTGTGTTGCGGTTCAAAAGCTTGTGAGAGAACTGTGTGTGTTCTTGTGCGACAAGCAACTGAACAATGAAAGCATCCATGGATGTGTTATTGAGGTTGTGGCTTGGGCAGTCCGTCGGATCTTAATGTTGACCGTTATGATTGGTTGATTAACTCATTCGAACCCTCGCAATCATGAGAATCAGTACGACTACGACTACGATGGATTATGGCACTACGGCACCATGGTAAGGTCTTGTTATATTTGCTCAACTTCTGCGCAAGCTTCTGCGCAGCCATGTTTGTAACATGTTCTGCAGTGCCATATGCCTCCTTCGGGAGGGCAGCCACGTGTGGGGCGGCCACCTGGCCGTGCTGGGTTCAGGGAAGCTTTGAGAGGCTTGGAAGATGAGGTTGATGCTGAGCCGGCTCAGCCTTTGGACGATGACGAGCGACATCAAGCTGCGGTGGAGAGAGCAGCGCAGGCAAGGGCAGCCCGAGCTGGATACACAGAAGCAGCGCCTTGTCAGGATGAGTCTGACGGTTTCGCTTTGGCAAGTTTTGGATTGCTAAAGCTCGGAACAGACTTGCAGCAGCAACTCGCGCAAGCTGCGTGGAAGCTCAGAGGGGCCAAGACAGCCACCGTGGCAAGGTTCAAAAGGATGTTCAGTGAACTGCTGCTGCATTTTCGGCCTACGGGCAGCCTGACCTCACAGGCTGCAATGATGCAGCAGGACAGACAAGCACTGCACGTCGTGATGCAGCAGGCAGCATGTTATTTGGTAGTTTTCTCAGCTTTTTTGATTGGGGCCGCCTTGCTGGCTACCCTGTCAAAGCTGTGTGCTGGTGTGAATCCCAAGACCCACAGGGTGGTGATGCTCCTTGTCCGAAGGGCTTATGATGAAACTCCTTCGGATATCAGCGTCGCTTGGATGACACATTCTGAATTGGGTGCATTTAACAAGAAGCGAAGCAAGCAGGAGGGGACTGCGAAAGTCCTCCAGACCCGATGCGATGTTTTGATTCTGATGAATCATGTCTCGAGCGCGACCTACTACAGCATGAGGATTCCCATGCCTTGCTGGCTCATGGCGCTGGAGAAAACAAATGCTCAGACGACTGCCAAGGCCCAGAGGTCAATTCTGGACATGATTCCTGGCCTCCAGTCCTTCGGCCAAAAGGCCAAATATAATCTGCAACTCGTGACAACCGATCGCTGTGCTTCCAACTTGAAAGCCGAGAGACTCCTCGACACTGGGGGAATCAACGGCTGCACAACACATCATTTTTGTGTTGTGCATATGACCCACACCTGTCAATCCAAGACCGTCCAGATGCTGGACGGTCAAGTCACCGGGATGGTTGCTACAGCTTTGACTTGTATGGACGCGGGAAGCATCCGATCGCTTCGATCATCGATGGAGAAGGTTCTGAAAGACAAGGTGCATTTGTGCTTCGGGTCTCGGCCGGAGGATCCGTTTGCAAACGAGTACAGATCTGCTGTCTTGGAAACCTTCCTACCCTTGCAGGACGATGATGGAGATGAGCATGTTCTTGGCAGGATGCAAGAGCATTACTTGCAAAGAAAGCGAAGTCGAGCCATCATCAACTTCTTCCTGCACGGGGACCTGCAAGACCAAGATGAGATATGGTTCTGGAGTGAAACATGGGGACTGGAGCAAGAGCATGTTGTGCAACTCATGGCAAAATGGCTCATCCCAGTTTTGCTTCCAAAGCGGCCTCCAATCTTTTCGCGCACCCGATGGGACGGGTTCCATGACTCTCTCCTGTGGTTCGGACTGGCACAGGCTTGCCATGGCTTGCTTCGCCCTACGCTGCAAGACTTTCTGAATGTCACTCCGACGGTGCTGCCGCGTGCGGCAGAGGATGACCGTCAGGAGGTCGATGCAGATGAGGCAGACATGGAGGCTGTCACCGGGAACATCGACTGGAAGGAGCTCAAGGTGAAGATGCGGCAGAAAGTGCAGGTGTGGCTTCAACAACCGTTGTTCCCACCTGTGCTTCTTATGCTTCAGGCCTTGCGGCCAATGTCTCGATTTTACCACCGCCTGATTTATTCGGGCGGTGCGGAATGGGAAGACATTGAGAGGACGAAAGAGTCCCAAGGCTGCCGTCGATCGTATGCGGTGCTTGAGGCGGCGCGGGAATCAGATCTCAATGCTTACCGGCGGAGTGTGAGTGACACCTTCCACGAGCAGATCGTGCTTCTCCCGCGATGGTGTCACTTCCGCCACTACCAGGTGCTTCTGTTTCGCATGCTCAGCCGCAATGTGTGCAGCACGGAGTTTCTGATCGGCACAACCTACAGGTCATACCCAATCAAGCTCTTCAAGAGTTTAGACAAGGTGCACGAGGCGAAGGATCCGGAGTGCATGCACTGCCGTCTCACAAAGCTGATCCTCTCGGAGGGTTGTGACCTGGACAGTCCTGAGTCGCAAGCTGTTCTGACGGCCATCGCTTCAATGTTTCAGTTGCACATTGCTTCGATAGAAGCCCGCCATGCATCAACACGGAGAATCACAACCATCAAATCGGTGCAAACACACCGCCCGACACTGACGGCCGTGGGGGCCGATTGGGTGTGCCGACATTTGGAGGATATATGTTCAGTCTTGTTTGGTGAGATGTTTAAGTCCTCTGTGAAAGTTTTCAATCTTTTTGAGATGTTGAAGTCCTCTCTGAAAGTGCAAGTTTCAGCCAAGTCTTTGGGCTAGGCCTATGACATACGGTTGATGATATAAATCCTGCATGACCCGGAATAAGGAATATACCATAATTCCCATAGTTTAGGGTCCTTAAGGTAATGCAGGATTTAAATCATCAACCGTAGGGCTATGCTATGATTTGATTTGACTGAGGATCGAACAGTGCTGACCGAGCCCAGTTCTGCCGTGACATGCCTGTGTCCGGAACAGCCCAAGCAGACACCGTGCCGCCCGAGCCGAAGCAGCCGGAGCGAAAGAATCCTTGGAATGCATTCCTCAGCGAGAAGTGCCGCCGCAGAATCTCTGACCTCGGCAGCACTTCGTACGCTGCTGTCGTTGAGGAGTACCGTAGCTTGACACCCGCAGAGCATCAGAGGTACCAAGAGATGGCAGACGTGGCTTTCTGTGCGAGAGCCCGAGGTCTGCCGGGTTATGCTCATCATGGTGCTATTCCTGCAGCAGCGGCATCATCTTCTGGCTCTGGCAAGGAAGTGGCCGTGGAAGCTCTTGTGGCTGTGCCTGCCGCTGGCCACCAGGAGTTGGCAGTCCCTGACCAGGCTTACAAGTTGATGGCTGCAGACTTGTCAGACAAACTGCAGGTGGTTCAGCAGGAGTATCACAGGCGATCTGCGTCTGTGAAAGACTGGTGTGACATTTTTCGCGACAGCCGGGTTCAGCATCGGCAAGATCAAGAGCATCTTTTTCGAGAATGTGGTGTGGTGGAGCATGTGCCTGCGCTTAATGGCCTCGTGTCGGCGGAAATGCGCGTACCAGCGGACAAGATCGGCGAAGTGCCCGGGTTAGATGGTTCAATCATGAGGGACCTAGTCACTACTGGTTCAGAAGTTCTGCCGGTTTCTTGTTTAATCGACTAGGTAACTGTAACTAGGCCCCTAAGCCCTAAGCCTCAGCTTTGGAGCTTTGCAAGGAAGGAATAATGAACAGTAAATTGTACCTCTTAATGGCCCGTAGATAATCAAGGGTTTCAGCTTTAATCGGAAAACTTTGAAAACCAAAAAGAGTCAGCCCGCTACTGATGTAGGACCACAAACCTTGTCACCATGCCTTGTTTGAAGTGTTTCCTGCCGCATGTCTGGTGGCCCTGTGCAGGATCTGCTCTCAGTTGGTGAAAAGAGCACCTTGCGGGCCTCTCTTTTGGACAAGTGGCAGAGCATGTGTGACTTGATTTTGAACACAGATGAGACACCATTTCCAGATGCTTCAGATGCTCTTCCAACTCGTTGTGCACAGCTCGGCATGTGTGTCTGTGCTTCACGTGGCTTGCAAGCTTACCTCTTTCATTGCAGGCTGATTTTCTGTTTGAAGGCATTCTTCACACCCAAGAGATCCCGCAAGATTCGGGATGCTGCTGGCAACATGGTGATCAAGGAGCTGTCGCAAGCCGAGCAGCATCAGCAGACAAAACTGAAATCCAACCGAAAGCTTCTGGATGATGGTTTCGTTGTTGTTTGCTTGCGGCCATCCAGCCGAACTGCCGCAGCAGAAGAGGTTCTGCCTCACAAGTACATGCACTCCTCCTGGAAAGCTTTGGCCCTGACTGCAATGAATGTCAGTGCGGAGGGTGAAGCAGATTCTCCAACTTCCCTCTGGCTCCATCTCGGCCACATCAATTATACGACGTGGGCTCTCGGTGTGTTGCGTCTGGACGAAGCTGGTGCTGATGAGGCTCGGCCTGAGTACACGAAGCTTCAAGTGCCCACACCTCAAGAATGTTGCCATTCCGTCAGAATGTTTGAGCAAAGCGGCATCAATTTCAGTGGCCCGTGGCAGTTCACTGTCAGCATGATCTTGAGCAACAATGATGAGCTGGAAAGGGCCAGCATGCGACCCGACACAGTGCTTGTGAAACAGCATGCAGAAGTGCCCAACATGGAATTCTGGCAGGGCTGGCCGGCAGAACAGGCCCGCCATGAAAAGAACTCCAAAAGTCGACCTGTGCCTTCATCTGGCAAGCGGAAGAAGGAGACATCTTCAGCCACAGCTGGGTTCCGGAAAAGAACCAAGTCTGCGCCGGGCTCATCCACAGATGCCGTGGAGCCTCTGCCTGCGCACGAACCGGAGGACGATGTGGCTGGAGATCCAGTGGAAGAAGATCTTCTGCATGATGAGGAAGTCCGCAGTGAGGCCTCCAGCACTCCATGGTCTGAGTATGTGGCCGATGCTTTGGAGAGGGAGGAGCCTGGGTATGATGGAAGCTTGAAAGCGGAAGGCTCCGCTGCAGCCGCTGCAGCCGCTGCAGCAGCGCCAGACATTGCTGCAGGTTCTGTCGATGATGCTGATATGGGTCCTGCTCGTGCAGACACAGCCCACCCACGTGCCGAACCACGCCCGACAACTGTGGTGGGCTTCAAGAGTTTAGGAGACCTTCGCTTCAATGCCAAAGACTGTCACATCATGGCGGTCTGCCGTCATCCTGATCATATTGACTGCAGAATCACCCGCACCACCAACCCAGCTTCAGCTCCACGACAAATTGCGACGAACCCCTCGCAAGGGAGGCCCATCGGGTTTTTGTGTGCCTGGCTCAATGCCGCAGGACAGTGCAGCTCTTCACAAGAGCACAAGCAGATGGCAGTGCCTCGACATCTCAGTCTTCTGTCTAGGCAGGAAGCGAGAGCTGAGTTCATGCGAGAACCACATGCTGCGGATGTTGCGAGTCACGAACGCACACGGAATCACGATGAGCCTGACGAGCCTCCAGTGATTCGGTGAAAAATTGTGACATGCGCTTCTTGAAGCTTCGCTGTTCGTCAGTTCGTCTGCAGCGCAGATAAGTCGCACAGTCATGGATCCTAGGTTTGGACTTTGGATTTTGATTTGTCTTCAGGGTCTTTGATTCCTTCCCGAACCCCCAGGTAAGTGTGCACGGTTCATTTCCCGGTGCTCTTGTGCAACAGTGAAGCTACTTCGACTGTACCTGAATTTACCTGAATGCAGGATTTTCGTCGTCTTCCTGCGCAAGGACGTGTATGGTGTCGCAGATGCTGGTTTCCTTGCCAAGACTTACAAGGCCAGTTCTGTTTTGCAGCATCGGAGTTCGTGCTGGTGTCAGGTCTCGAGCCTCATGTTGTAATATTGTGTGCACCTGCCACTGCTGCATCGGCTTGTGTTCTGCAGAACAGGTGTAGGACAGTCTAGGCCCAAGTCCAAGCCCAGCCTTCTTCGAGGTGATGAGGTCTGAATGCGAAATGAGCAGGGTGGGGTATAGGTACAATACAGCGGTTAGGTTATGTCCCCGGACAATTGCCTGCTTGGTTAGGCTTAGGCTTAGGCCTAGGCGCTAGGCTGATTTTGTTGGCTCGTTTTTGGATTGCTTTGCAGGACCTCATCACGAAGCAGCAGGAGGCGACCCCGAAGAAGCTCAGCGATCTTTTGCCAGAGAGGAGGCTGGAGGACGTGCCGCGAGGGGTGACCCCGATGGACTGCCAGGTTCTTCTGCTGCAATTCTGTCAGTCAGCAGTGTGGAGCTCCGAGTGGTTAGCAGTTCAGTGCATGGACACGACATTTGGGCAACAAGACCTGGTCACATTATTACACTTGTTGATTGATAGATTTCGGAGTTTGGAGTTTTACTCAGAATGGTTGTATGCTTCGTGATGTTCGATGCTGCAAAGGGCAGGGGTCAAGGGGCATGGAGGGGTGTGGGCGGTGTGGATGCTTTTTCAGGGCCGCAGTGGAAGGCTAGTCGGCTAGTTGCACGAGTTGTTTGATCCGGGAGAATGTTTATGCACGATGAGGGCTTCAGTGGGGTCCTGATGGGGGGAAGGCGGGGGCAGGGAGACAGAACCTGGCTTTCTGGTGTGGTCGCTTTTCTTTTGGATTGTTACTGGCCCTTGCTTTTCAGGGCTCATTTTTTGGAGTCGAGAAATCGCTTTTCGTTTGCTTTTTTGCCACATTGTTGCCGTCCCGTTTTCTCAATTTGGCTGGAAATCGTTCGCTTTTCCAGTGCATTTTATTCCCTTTTTCGGAGCCCTGGCTCCGGACCACCCTGGCAAGCAAAAATTGCATTTTCCCTAGCAAAAAGAGAAAAAAAAGGAACGAAAAAGGGACGAAAAAGGGAAAAAAAAGGGACCAAAAAGGGACCAAAAAGGGACCAAAAAGGAACCAAAAAGGACCAGAAAAGGACAGGGACAGGCCCCAAAATGGAGCCAGAAGCCCAAAACAAAGCGATGAGAAAGCAACCCAAAAAACAGCGGAAAAAGCGACACCACGGGCCTCCAGCCAATCCGCACCCAGGGCAGGCCCTCCCAGACCAAGCCAGTTCACCAGCCCCATAGTCACGTTCCTTCCACCAGCCCCCCAAGTCCCAGGCTTCCGGGTCAATGTGTGCGCGAGTTTGGTGCTCATCTTTGCAAACCTGGCATGATGATGGTGGCATGGGGTTCGATGCTCACGAAACACAGAGTTTCAAAGCCTAGGTCCTAGGTTTGTGTTTCATCATGAATACAAACTTCAACCGGACTGCCAGCCTCACATACAAGTGCACTGCAGGTCGAACTCCTCTAACAAGGATGAAACCTTTATTTCCAAAAGCAAATTTCGTTTGAAACGAAATTAGTAAAAACTCGCCCTTTCTAGGCTTGTTGTGGATTTATTTTGAAAAGTAGTCGGACACTCTTTTTGAGTATGTGGACTACTTTTCAATGACAGAAAGACATTTTCCTGCTAAAAGCTTATATTTTTCGATGCTCAGGACCCTACTTCGGCCTCGAAAAGGTGGAAGGCCGAATCGAAAGTGCTTCGCAAGACCCTCGGGGTTTCGGAGAACTATAAGCCATGGACTTCCAGGAGGTCGTTCCTTGGAGTTGGTTTACCAGCTTCGGAGAGGATGTTGGACGTACCGGATTGCTATGTGGCTTCAGAACTTAAAGAAAACTGTGGCCGGCCTGATGAATGTGCCAGGGTGGATATGCGTTCACTGATGGAGGGCAAATTCATCGATGTCAGCCAGGGGGTGAAGCGTGGTGCCCACAGCAACAAATCTGGGTTTGTTCGCACCTTCACAACAAGCACGGTTTTGTATGATTTCAGCCGTGATGTTGTCTTGAGTGGCTACGAGATGCTGCTACTTCATGGTTTCCCACGAGACTTTGTGATTCCGGCCGACATCCCAGAGCCGGAGGTGCGCAAGGTAGCTGGGGATGGTATGTCAATCCCTTCACTTGCTGCTGTCATTTGGTGCTTGTACTTGACACGGCAGTTCCCTGAGTGATGGTGTTCTTGAAAGCCGTAGTGCCCAGCACTGTTTCATATGATGATTTTTGTTCTGTGGGCCTTCTTTGGCCATTCGTAGAAATGCATGTGTCTCGGCAGGATGTGTGAGACAAAGTTTTTTGTGGGACTCATTGATTGTCGGAGTGGCGAGGGTTCTGTGCTGTACAGTATGGCATGGTATAGTTTGGTATAGTATAGTATGCAGCACGTGTAGTGGCAGTGCAGTGTAGTGACGTGTTAGCATGAAGTTTGAATGTGTAATCTTGTGCCAAAGCTAAGAGGATGTGTCCGAAGGAGCTTCAGAAATCTGTTCCGACTTTCTTCTCCCAGTCCTGGAATGGACATATGGAGATTTCTGCAGATGGGAGGCTTCGTTCTCCATCGAGTCACAGAAACAATGACTCAGCGTATGATTCGATGGTGTGCAGAGTTTCGCTGCTTCTGTTTCTGGTAACTACTCCTGGTGAGTTTCTCCGAAGTGCTGGGAAATGGCTAGTAGCTCGTAAAGGAATTATTCAATGCAATAAACTACATATATATATATATAAGACATAAAACATAGGGTAGATAGTATGATACTGTGCGTGTCTTGCGAGGCTCTGCAAGTTTCACATCAGGAAGAAGTTGTGGCCGGAAGCAGTCCTAGAGCTGTGTTCAGGGGAGATGTCATTGAGAAAATATCCTGCTCCTGGCAAAAATACGAGACCTACACCCAGACATGTGTACAGTCAGATAATGAGAAGTTTCTGAGCTTTTTAAAATTAGCACTCCACACACTCCTATCCTGTCCCAATCTCTTATTTGTAATGCCTCATGTACCCTGGAGGTTTGGTCCTCGGTTTCATCCTGTTGATTTACTAGAGACCAGGGCTGCAAGGGCTAGATTACGTGTGGAACCCAGCCGGATTGTCTGGTCACTCGAGTTGGAAGTCCAGCCACCAGACTCGCCGCGCCTTGCTTGGAGTCTGGCCGTACAGTTACAGTATCCTAGGTCCCCGGGTCCCTGCTGCTTCTGTACAGCTAGGGCACAGCTAGCTAGTTGTCTTTGTGGCAGATGGATTCGATGGACACATCGAGAGGAGAAGCCGGTGCTGAAAGAGCATTGTGCTTGTGTGGCAGCTGATTCTTTTTTGATTCATGCAGCGTGGGCCATCCCTTTGCAGCCGCAGTTTCTCATGTCTTGTTCCATCCTTGTGATGCTGCAGGCTTTCAGCCGTGTGGGCAGTGAGTCCATAGCTAGTGCTAGTGATCCTTTGTCAAGCCCGGCAGAGTCCAGATCTTGACAATGCGGGCCAGCGGCAGCGGCACTGGTGCTTCCAGACGTGGGAAGGAGTGCTGCGGCTGTGTGTTCGCAGTGTCGCAGAAGTGTCAAGGTAGGTAGCTGGTAGCTGCAGACACGTCTCTCGTTGGGTTGCTGCATTCTGTATCCGCTTGGGAGCCGGTGACTTTTGTGCTTATGCTTGTAGAAACAACGACCTTTGCGTGTCGTCCACTTGGCAGCAGGACAAGACGCCGAAGCGAGGTCCCCCGGGTGATGATGATGCTGACGAGTTCGATCGCAACAGTGAGCGAGGAAGCCGAGCTTCCAAGAAGAGCAGGCAGAGTCAGCAAGTGCCCACTCGAGGCCGTACTTTTGTGAGGAGGTGCCACATGTGCGGCAAGTCCTCCGACGACACCCAACCGCTTCGGATATGATTGTTGAGTTTTCTTTGAAGTTGCAGCGTGTCGAATCCTGGGTTGTACCACATGTTCATATGCAACGATGGCCAATGTAACCATGTAATTCTTCCATGCTAACGAGTCACGGGCTGCGAAAATGTTGTCTCATACTTCTTACTGTTATCATGCAACAAAGTCAGTGGTGCCACAGAGTGTTATGTCCAAGGAGACGACGTTCATGAGCCAAGATTCCACAGGAATGCCTGTGGATGATGGATGTTACAACTGTGGCGGCACGTGGAGCGACACTAACCCGGGGAAGCCGTGGTCTGCTGGGAAGGAGAAGTGGAGAGCTTAGTCAGTCATCCTTGTTTTCAGCCTATGTGTGTGTGTGTGTTCCGTAGTGCAATGTGGCGGTCATGTGGGGCCAATGCGGGGGAACAAAACAGTGAGGTTCGACAAGGAGCCGAAGTGGCGGCCCAAGTTCCTCAAGTCGGCGAGGATCCGGTCGGGGGAGATCGACCCACCTCAGTGGGACACCGCCAGCAATGTCGTAGACTGGGAAACCGTGGAGATGGAGATTCACCAGGAATTGGGCCTCCTGTCGGAGGCAGAGTTCGAGGCTCTGACAAAGTTCGCCGGATCAGCTGTGAAGGCTGAGTTGCAGGAGGTGCCGAGCCCGCTCGGCCACGACAAGAACTTTTTCATCATCACCTTAGATGGGCTTCCCTGCACCGTTACCAACGGAATGAGGAAGCTTTGTTGCAAGTACAGGTTCGGCCTGACAAGGGAGGACATGCTTTTGCAAGCAGCGAAACAGCTTGTAGAAGGGCAAGGGAAAGCGGTTTTCAGCTACCACAGCGAGGAGCAGCTGAAGCAGAGACCGAAGGGACTGCAGACCGAGCAGCAGTTCAAGGAGCTCAAGTCCTTGGAGGGGCTGAAAGAGAAAGCCCAAAAGGCTGTGGCCAAGAGCGGTGCGCAGCCAGTCAAGGCCACTGGTGATAGCAGTTCCGAGGCTGGTGACGACGAGGACGGTGACGGTCCCAAGGCAAAGAAGTTGAAAGTTCAGCAGTCGGGGCGACTGCAGAAGCTTGCCAAGCCCAAGAGGAAGGGGGGCAAGAAAGCACCCGCCGGCGCGGAGATTGCCGTGGTTGACAACCCAGAGGGGGTCCCCAAACCTTTGGAGTCTGTGGTTGCGGCCCGTGGCAACACGCCGAAATGCTTTACCAACTTGCACATTGATCGAATTCTCATGGGCGAGAAGTTGATGAGGAGTGTGGATGCAGTTGGGAACCGAGAAGTGCTGCAGCTGTGTAGTCAGAGTAGTCGGGGCTTGTGAAGGCTAGTGCTAGTGAAGTGATACAAAGGCCGTGGACCGTCTATTGTTGTGTGCAATCGAGTTTTTTCATTGGTCACGTGATTCAGTGTTGCCAGTTCAACCATGAAAGTCATCATTGTAAGTTGTGAGCAGGTTTGTTGCCATTTCAACAAACCGAGTTGTCTTTAGTATTCTAGCAGATTCTAGCAACAGTCATCTGTCTTCGAGGCTTTTCAAGACTCATACACAAAGTTTCAGAAGCTCCATTGCAAGGTTCCAGGACAATGCAGCTGCTTCATAATTCGGTGTCATTAACCGTGCAACAATATAATGAGAGACCACAGTCATTCTCTGCCTAGCAAGGCGAGAAAGATTATGGATGACATGAAGGCCCAGCGCCAGTTCC